ATATAGTTGCAAGAATCTTAATAAAGTACTAGCATGGCTGCTTAAGAGCAAAAAAAAAAATATTTCAAATAAAATAAATTTATCAATAAAAATTATTTTATAATTTTCAAAATATTTTGAAATTATTTCAAATATTTTGAAATTATTTCAATATTTTCAAAATATTTTGAATTATTTTAAATATTTCAAATTATTTTTGAAATATATTTTTATTTTTTTTTAGTTTTATTTATTTTTAAAATTTTGTAAAATAAATGAAATTCTTTTAAAATTATTTCATTTTTTTTGCAATATTGTGAAATTATTTTATTTCAAAATAATTTTATATCAATTGCAGTTATTTTAAAAGATTTTTGGTATATAAAATCTTTCATAATATTTTGCATATTTATTTTGCTAATGTATTTTATTCTTGAAATAAACCTCTTAGAGTTTTCTATACTTATTTTTATAATTGATCTAAATATTATTATATTAAAACTAATACTTGTAATCAAAATTTTATTTTTAAATACTATGTCTTTGTAAAGTTTACTTAAACCTTAATATTTATTTTATAGCATATTTTTAGTATTTTAGTATACTTTTGTCTGTTTTTTAAACTTCCAATTTAAATAGTTTATATAAAATTATAATCAGTTTATTAATATATCAAGTTAGTCTAATATCCTTTTTTTCTAATTCATTCTGATGATCTGGTTAGTAATATTTTTAAGACTCCTAATATAAAGATTCTTGTTTGTCTAATTACTTCAACATTAGTATCTGTTTTTAGTAGTTTAATCTTTATAGTAATACTATTAAAGATTTGTATTATCTTTCTATTTAGGTTTTTTTAAATGTATTTCTTGTTTCTTAATTTCAATATATTTATACAGTTACAAGAACTTATCTAGAGTTTGCACTGCCTAATGCCAGTTTGCATTTTTTTGTATAACTAATTACATGTATACTTTATAATTTGTCAGTTATACTGATATAATCATTATTATAAGTATTTTAATCTAATTGTTAGAAACAATTGCCATAATACAAATATTGCATAGGTGATTATTCAAATTTTTGCTATGAATGGAATTTGAATACTCAATCTACCAATTGAAAAGTTGACAACTTATCCACTTTACTAAATCATTACATCTTTTTTTATTTGTATTTTTACTAATAATAAATTATAAAAAATTATTATAATCAAGATAATAGATTACAAATATGATAATAAGAATAGCTTAAAATATATTTTATAAATAAGTATAAAAAACATAATGTAAAAAAAAACTAAAAAATAAATAAATAAAAACATAATAATAAGTAAAATAAAAAAAGCCTCTTAAAAGAAAAAAACATAGATAAAAGAAAAAAAAATAGTAGATAATGAAAAAAAAAACAAGCAGAAAAAAATAAATTAAAAAAGAAACTAGAATGACAATGTTGAAACTTGTTATAAAAAAAGGAAGATCTTTTTATTATAAACTTTTAGTAATCAAACAAGTAATCTACTTCTGTTTAAAATAACAGATTGCATTTAAATACTGCTATGATATTAGATAATGCTAAACTTAGTTATTAGGTGCTTATATATAACTGCAATAAAGTACTAGCATAAATGCTTAAGTTAAAAAAAATAATAATGCTAAATTTAGAAAAAAAATTTTTTATTTTTTAAATTATAGATTGCAGATCATGAACATATTCAGTGACCAATACTGTTGAATCTTCACATTTGGAAAATTCAATTAGATTCGATATAATGTTCAATGATAGACTATTGCTATCTTAATAGATGTATAATATACAATAAGAAAGATCTTAGTCTATTTAATTTACAAACCAATTTAAATTTACAAATATATGTATATAACGATATATTATATAATAATATATGTATATATTGATACTTTTATCAGTGCATAGTGATAGCGATAGAGCATTGCCTAATCGCATAAATATCTAGAGATTGACTCACGAAAACTGACGTATCAATTGACGATAGAGTCATCCCAGTTGCTCCGGATGCTAATATGTGAATAAATAAAACTCTTCCTACCCAATTTTGACAAGAGAGTAATTGCCCCAATTTTATCAACAACAAACGTATTCGTCCCAATGAACATCACAATACTTTTTTAAATGCCAACTTCTTGGTTTTTTCCATTTGCGTTGTTTAACGCCATGCATTTTTGTAATATAATAATAGTACTTTTCATCGCTAAAATGGTTTACAAGTTTTGGTAAACCGTCCGTACTATGCACTGATAAAAGCTTAAGTTCCAATGGCACCCCATGTGATGAAGGTGATGATATAGTTGATATTGATAGTGAATTCGATGACTCTCCCATCTGACCTATCAATGTAGAAGTTTGCGGATTGGATGTATTTGGGGGATTGTTATTAACTGTGAACGATAATGACGTTCTAGGTGAATTCGCCAACTCACGAACTTCCGGCAATGTACCATTCTCTGATATGGGAGAAGTTGGGTTTGGTAGTGATGCCGATCTGTATGCAAAATTAATAAAAATATCTTTTTTCTGTTGGGAAATAGGGGATGGATCGGATGATACTGAATTCGATCGAGGTTTTACGTGTGCGGGCAACGACGATGTGGATGTAAGAGTGGATCGTGTGCGTCGTATAAGTTGTGTTGACTCCGTTCGTAAAAGTTCACGACATGAACTACATGCACAACTGGTCTCGTGAGCATTTGTGAAATATTCCACTGGCGGTAATTTTTCCTATTGTTATGTATACGTAAAGGAAATTTATTATCATCATTGTTTTTAAAAAAGTCTTATGCATAATAAATTCGAGTGGTGCGTACCTTATCAACACGTTTTACAACCATCTGCAAATAATAATAATAATAATAATAATAATAAGTTTATATTCTAATCTCAGGTATCGATAACATCATGAAAATTGTCTTTGACATACCTTTTTTCCATCTTTTATTCTCTTGACCGTTATGGTTTCCGAATACTTGCCGGTTCCACAAATCACCTTTTCTTTCTTGCCTTTTTTCAATTTCTTAAATATTTTAGAAATTTTTTTTAAAAATTCCCACTTTGTTGTATTTTTTTCCGACCCACCATCTTGATGTTTCACACATTTGACAACAGTGTAAATATTCCGTTGAGAAAATTGATTCAATTTATCGACCAAAGTTTTTCCGTAGCATTCGAATGCACAAGGCGAATCTTTAGGTTCAATCGGGCCTACGGAATGACGTTGAGCGTGTCGCTTTCGGAAACTTGATGTAGGTTTTTCATGATGATAGATTCTATTATCGTCATTTTCGTTTATTCGTGACGTTTGTAAAAAGGTAGATTCTATATTTTCATCGATATCATTTTCCGGAATATTAAATACAACGCTGAGTGGGGAATTCGGCATGTGAAATGAACGAGACGGTGAACCAGAAGATCTGGCAGTATGCCTTTGTGAAAGCGAAATGGTTGACCGAGTTTTGTAAAGTTGTGTTAATGAAGGCGGAGATGACTCTTGGCGTGACATTTCCGAATAGTTCGAGTTAAGAATCGACATTGATTGCATACAGAAATTCTAAATTCTGTTCGTTTTTTTTTTTGATAGGGTTTTATTATCAAAAAAATAAAAAAAAGGTTGGCGAAGTTGTTGATAAGTTTTTTTAGGGGCGGGAGGAAGAGGATGAGCACAAACCAAAATGTTAATATTTGTGGATTGCATGGATTTTATAATTTTTTTTTTTTTGTCAGCAAATAAGGAAACTGAACAATGGACTAAGGTTAGCAAAGATTGTGACTAACCCTTAACTATCCCAAACTATGCGTATATAATTTATCCGCATGTCGATTGGACGAATGGTTTAATTTATGATTTAAAAGTATATTTTAATTAATCTGTCCCATTTTACATACTTGGAAAACTGAACATCGTTTTTATTTCTATCTCACCAAAGAAATTGATGTTGTACAACAGGATTAAAGAAATATGAAGGGAATTGCTTGATTTATTTCTAATCTGTAAGAATTTTCGATTGACGATAAATGCGCATATACACAATCACTATTTCCGATCTCCGTCTGCTGTTATCGTTATACAAAAATTAGCAAATGGATTATGTATTGTTGATCACCTGATTGTGTTAACTTATCAATTACATTGTTTTAGTGTTCATATGACACGAAACAATAACGTTAATGTTTAAACAATGGTAAGAATGAACTCAACAAATTAAGGTTTTCTTTTTTTTTGACCCTTAAGCTGTTTAGAAGGCGTACTCACTACGTACTTATTTACAATCGTGGAAAATCCTGACTAACCGAATATCCTAATCCCGAAATTACTGAATAGTCGGAATTCGGAGCATCTCGTAGCACAAGATTGTGAAAATGAGTGAAAAATTTGAACTCTGGTGCTTCAACCAAAGGGCCACACATGAATTGACGTCTGGAAGGTAGCAAACCGTCAATCGGTCTCGAACTCTAAGTTTTTAACTAAGAAGTAGCCATCTTAACCGTTGTTACTATCAGCTTTGAAAAGCATGTGTAGGTTTGACAAATTTGGGAGTGGAGAGAAATCATGTATCGGTACCCTCTGGTTGACATTATCCCCTTTGATTTATACCGGGCGTCTATTATCGTGTATTTTATAAGAGACCCGGGTATACTAACAGTAGGGTGGGGAATGGCCGTGCTAAGCCCGGAAATTGGCGGGCCGGGCTTGGGCCCCAAAATTTTGAGCCTGTTAATCTTTGTGCCGGGCTAGTCTATTATAATAGAAAAATACAGATTTACCATCTTACCCAAGATCGCAACAAAATTTGCAGTCACGTGATATAGACGAAATTCTTTAAGTTAGGGGTCCATGTTTGAATAGGGTTTTAGGAATCCTAATAACAAATCGCTCAAGGAAAACCTTTTGTTAATACGCAGGCGGCGATTATTATGCAATTTTTTGAGAAATAAGAGATTTTTGACAAAACGAACGTTTGTTTTGAACTTTTCCTGATCGTGTTACGTTACACCAAACCATGATTAACAGAATTTTGTTACAAACTTCATGTCCACCGATTTACAACCAAAATGCTCATCATAATGAGACGATTCTAATCTCGAGAAATTCGTGTGTCAAATAGTGATGCACCTACTGTGGAACGATCGGTAAAGACCCAACCGATCAGGAGGTGCGACACTATTTAACACATAAATATCTCGAGATCCTGTGATTATATTTGGATGATTTAGGCTTGTTAGAATCGTCTCATTATGAACATTTTGATTGTAAAATATTTACAATAGACCTATATATAAAATGTTATTATTACAAAAAGTAGTTATTAACAGACTGGTTAGGTGGTTGAAACAAGACAAGCTTGTTTATGTGAGAGATCTAGGTTTTATATTTATATTCTTAGTTTGTTAAAGCAAATTATGTGGTTTGATTGGCTAATAATCACATGTAGATCTACAAATTGATCTACGAGGCTAGCCAATCAGACGAATTTCTGTCTATATATGGGGTGTTATCAATTAAAACAGCCTTTTTTTACATATTTCTCATTTTGAGATAATTGAGTTTAATCACTTGTTTTGAATTTCAAACTGATCTGAGATTAATAAATTTCATGATTTTGATTAGTTAAAGGTAACAGGTAACTATCAGGTAATTTCGTGATGTGTTAACCTTAGATAACTACCCCAATATTGAGCATGATGAACAAACTGATATTCAGTGATGATCTACAGTAGCTTAGCCAATTTAATAAAAAATTTTTTTTAATTTTTTATACATGTTAAAGTACTTTTTATTTTCATAATTTTTCACAAGTTTCCAATTAAGTTTGATAAACAAAAAAAAAAAATAAAAGTTTTTTATATAACCTATATACCATTAAATTTAATTCAAAATAATCTAAATATTTATAATTTTTTACTAGTAGCAATTTTTATAAGAAATAGAAGATAAATTAGCTTAAGATTCAAGTAAACAGTATATTGTAAAGATTTGCAAAGGCATTTCAATGACAATTTGAAAAAAAATAAGTAAGCACATCTTGAACAAATCAAAAGCTAATAGAATTTTAGTTTCATACTATAGAAATCATAAGGATAAGTATATATGTTCTAATTATTATAATGTGATTGTAGTAAATAGAACAAATATATTTAAAGAACATATCATAGAATGAGAAAGTAAATTAAAAAAACAAAAAAAAGATATTCTTTCTATGTCTAAAAGTATTTTATTATTAACTAACATTATTTTTAAAAAAAAAATCTTAGAAAATAATCTATTTATTGTTTTATTTTTCATACTTAGATCTGTTGCTAAAGGTAAAAACAATTAATTAAATTTTTTTTGATAAAATTAAAGCAATGGTTTGCTTAAGAAGAAAAAATAAAGCTGAACAAAAAGCATTTGATCAGTCTTTAGCATATTAATATTATTTGATGTACTGGAACCAAAGCATGATTATATCACTTTGAAATTTAAGAGATGAAGTTATAGAAAGTAATAACAATTTTATATAGATAGATAGCATTAACATTTTAACAAAGCTTTTATATGATCAGGAAAAGAATTAAGAAAAACTAACCATTTATAGTTTCAAACAAATATGCAGAGAGATGATATCTAAGGATTTTAGATTAAATAGTTTTTTGATTCGATTTATAATATATTGCTTTCTACAAATAGAAGTGATAAGGAATTGAATAAGTTAGATAAAAAATTAACAATAAAGTGTTATATTATATATAGCAATCAAAATTCTAAACTAACTATATTTAAAAAAGATATGTCTCTTTTTGTAGATTTAATGGAGGTTTTTGTGAAAGCTATAGATGCCTTATCACATGTTAATATAACAAATTCACAAAGGCATCTAGACAAAAAAAAATAATCATCACTAATAATCATTTATATAAAGTTGCTTCATATCTGAAAATTAAAAAAGATAATGCAGTTGTTCTTAATATTGATAATTATCATAATATTTACACAAATAAATTTTAGATACATGTTTAACATCAAGTGTAGTGCATATAACAATCTTGTTGTTAAATAGTGTTAATTCAAATGCTATTCCACAGATCACACCAAATAGTATATTAGTTTACAATCTAAATTTAATTGATTCTAATCTTATTTGTAATTTTTTAAACACCTATTATATGAGATGAATATCTAAAATATTTAATGATCAGTTTTATTATAAGATACTTTTGGACAAGAAACTTAAAAACATGACTCTTTACAAATATAATTCTCATATATGAGAATAATAAGAAGAGTGTAAAATGAAAGACACAATATGCTTGGATTTTTTTGAACTTAGTCTTAAAAAAATGGATTTGTATATTAGTGCTTTATAAGAAATTACTAAAATTTCTTTATTAACTAATTATTTAACTATATTATTCCAGTTGTGGCTGATTGGCCTAAGTAGGTATTTATATGACAAGCAATTACCCTTTGGCTATTAAATTATGAAGATAATATATTAGACAGTATTTTATCTTTTGTTTCAATTATAAATATCCTTCACATTTAGCTAAATCTACTCAAGTCTATATTAAAGACTTATTGAAACTTTTTTAATATAGAGTACTAATATATCTTTAGTACAAGTAAAGTGCTCAGCAAGACATCAAGTTCATATTAAATATTTGTATTTCTTAAGCTAGTATGAAGTACCTAGAAGAAAATTAAGCTGATAGTAACAGATAAGTTCAGAAAAAATTGTAAGAATATTGAATTTTTATTTCTATTTAAGTTATTAGACAATACAGTACCAGTTAGATTAAATATATATTTAACTCTATTTTGGTCTAAAGATTAAGAATCATATATTGAAGGCATATTTCAAATATGATGCATTTTTTTATGATTTGAAAAGTGTAATTACAATAAAGCATCTTTAGTTTTTCTTTTTGATATATTTTATTGATATCAAAACAACTATTCTATACTTAATATATTAGAAAATTATTTAGTTAAGTTCACAGATTATTCTGTTAAAAATATGCATAGCATGATATAACAACAGAGCTTTTCTACTGATACTTCATAACAACTTTCCAAGATTGCTAAGGTTATTAGTGCCAGAAAGGATATAAGTGCATTTAAAGATGCATTTGTAGTTCAGAAAAAGTCTATATATGCAAATAAAAATAATTTAGCTTTATTAACAAAAAAGGTGCAAGTGTTTCTTTTAGAAATCTTTGGTAACTTTTATTAAAGATTAAGTCAAAGTTTTATTATTAAAGGTTAGGAAGAAAAAATTACTTACAAACTAGCATCATTAAATTTTGGTATAGACAAAAAGCAAATGCCATTAGGGTTTAGCAATGAGCATTTGCTATTATATAACAAGTATGATCATTGTCATGGATTGTTATATGATAGAACAGATAAAAGTTCTATAGTTATTGCATGTGGTCATGGATATCATGAGAGCTGTTTTACTATATTGAATGAAAAATGATATTATTATGAAAGTATTCTCAAATTAGATATAAAAAATAATGTTTTTTTTTTATTTTTACAATTAAGCAAATTAGATAAATCAAAGATGAATCTTGAAGAGATTGATGAAATTGATGAAAATACTTTACAAGATCAAAGGATAGAAAATGATGATGATATATTGAAAGTATTTCAGAAAGACAAGCAAGTATTGTTAAAAGTAAAACAGGCCTTTCTTATAGCTTTTGAAAAATTTTTAAATACTAATATTGTAAATGTTTAGCATTAATATTTATTTAATATAATTTTATAATTAATTAATTAAGGTGTAGTGACCTAGTAAAGTGGATAGGTTGTTAACCCTCAAGTGGCAGGTCTAAGGTTCAATTTCTACAAATAACAAATTTTGAAAATTATACCTGTGTTATAATAACTGTCTCTTGCCAATCAGTTAGGTTTTGGGCATCTGTAATCTTAGGTACACCAAGTCAGTCTCACCTAACATTGGGAGCTCAGGGCATCTATGTAAAGTATAACATTACATGGTACATGTATATAAAGGAATATAAAACCAGTATTGCATAAGGCTTCAGACAAATCCATAATAGGACCACCAGGCATAGAAGGCTAAGAAACCGAAAAGATGGGAACTTACTTGGAAATCCTAAGTAAAGAGATAGCACAAACTTTCAATAGTGCCATTGAACTGATGAAAGCTTATGAAACATCTTCATAAGAACTGTTGGATAAACTGGATGACAAAGATATGTAAAGAAGCATATAACCAACTAGGCCACCAGAATTACCAAAGGAAAAGGATACACAAGTATACCATACTGGGCCATCTGGATTGGAAGTCTGAGGAAGTTTATTGTTGGTTCTAAGTTGCAGCTAGTAGAGGATGATGAAGAAGAAGTTGGAAAAATAGATATCAGAGCTTGGGTACACTTTACAAGGGTAATAGCAGTTTAAAAAGTAATCCTGACTGCAAGTGTTGGTTTCAGCCATAGCGTTAAACCAGGTTAGTAGTAAAAGGAAATACAGCTTGCTCTAGTAGGTTTACCTTAAGGATAAAAATAGTCTAAGGATTATAGTTCTATGGTCGAATGCGAATAGATCCAGGTCTGTGACCTGGTAAAATTAATATTAGAGTTAGATCAGAGGGTTTAAATGAAACACCTAAGCAGAGGTGTTAGATACAGCAACTGGTAGGGAACCCTCAGGTGAACTCCTTAAATAGGTAATATAGAAAAGTTACATGTATTGCCAGTTGTATACTTGTCTAATAGTTCATTATAAATATGTTTATATAAAACATGTACTTGCTATAAGTATTAATAAAAAGCTCAGACCAAAGAGATCACCTTAATACTGAAAAAAAAAAATAACAAACTAATTAAGAACTTCATAAAGTAGTATTCCAATTGGCAAAATCAAATAGAAATTTTAAAAAATGTTTATACAGTCACACCCCCCTAAGTGCACACCCCCTAAGTGCAAGTACTATGTAAAACCTCTCTAAATGCAAGTTATGGGTTGGCCCCAACTTATAAGAACCTTATATATTTTATTCTCCATAAGTGCAAACCTCCTCTAAGTGCAAAATTTTGATTTTTTTCACTATGGTCCCGACAGCATGCACTTAGGAAGGTGTGACTGTATACCTTAAAAAGAATTATTGGCATATAGAAAAAAAGAATACAATTTCTTAAAGAAGAGTTAAACAACATCATTAAGCTTTTTAAACAAGACAAAAAAGAATTTTTTAAGAAATTTAAAATTAAAAAAAATTGTTCAATTTGAAGAAGAAAAATAAAAAAAAAAGACAAAAAAATTTCTAATAAAAATAGATTAATATTAAAATTTGATAAGCATAAAATAAAATTAAAAAACTAAATACAAAAGATATTAAAATCTGCAAGCAATATCTTCAAAGCATAAGATTATACAACCAGATTAGTAAACAAGAATAAATAGCTTAAATAAGAAATAAATATGATAAAAACTAATCAAATAAATAGAATTACCAAAATAACTTAGCAAAAACATTATATTACAAATCTGTTTTATCAAAATTTTGCATTATTCTTATTAAGATATAAAGATAAATTGAAGCCTATAAATACTAAAAAAGCTTTGCAAAATGCAGAAATACAGAACATTAATGAAAATAAATCTGACTCTGATGAAAATTCTTTAGATATTTATAATTTTATCAAAATTTAAATATAAGTATAATAGCTAAATTAGCTAAACTATAAACTGATCTTTAGATTATATAACAATATGTAGAATTATTTTAACAAATCAAATTAAAAGATCAACAAATACAATCTGATATAAATATGCTAATCTGCAACAAGATTTAGTAAATATAAGATAGAATTGTGATATGTATATGCAGAAGCAAGATCAAGCAATACAAAAGTGTAATCAATTGTAAACTAATACTTAGAATCAAATAAACAAAATATTAAACAATATAATAGAAAAGCAAACCCATATTAGTGAATTGCTATATAAAAATTTTACCTCACAAATCTTATATTAATGAAATATCTACCATCTACAATAATGCAAAACTGATAGAGGTTTGTTAAAATATAATAGAAACAGACTCTATGAATAATATAAGAAGTGAAAAAAAATAAAACTTATATAGAGCATTAAAATATTTTAATTTTAAATTAACAAATTTTTATTCTACAGAATAATTTATCTAATATACAACAAATAAAAATAGCAGAAAATGCATCTAAAAGATTCTCAAATAAAACAGATGAAGATATAGATAAATTTATAAAAGATTACAAATTTTATCTTACAGTAGCCAATATTAATACTGACTAGCAAACAAAGAGCTTTAAAACTATTTTGGTTATGCTTAACAGATAAGACATCATGTTAAGCTAAAGACAAACTTAAAGATAAAAAATAGTAATTGAATTACGTAAGATATAGGAATGTTTTAGCAAATATAAATATTCTAATAGCTCTAAATAATGCTAACATAATGGCTATTATAATTAATATACCAAATGACACTTTACTACTTACATTACTAAATAGAGCTACTAGTGCTATAGTTATTTTAGTATATAATATTCATATAGATAAGGATTGGTTTCTTGCTAGAGAATGTTTTGTAGATGCTGATATAGCAACTAATACATTAAATAAAGTTTTAAACAATAATAACTATATAGTTCTTTCTGATATTAATATTAGTCAAGTCATCTATTAGTTTAAAAAAAATTATCTTACAGTTGTTTGAAAGCAATAACAAATAATTTTTGGCACTTTGACTTAAAGATCTAATTTAGTTAAAGATTATTATAAAAAGATAAATAAATATGCTAACTAAATCTAAATATCTGATTATAAAAAAAGAATACAATTTAGATGTAGTTTTTTTTTTGAAAACAAGTTAGAATTGAAGTAATTAGTTTTAAACAGATTTTTAAATAATAATTTAATTGAAATCTTAAAACAGATTAAAATAAAAAAGAATGATATACTTTTGGATGAAGATATTTATAACTAAGACAAAACCAAAAGCATTTTCTTATTAGAGTATTATTACAAAAGATATTGATAAGATTATAAATAATAAAATTTAGGTATTATAACAATTAATGCTAAATCAATTACCAGCATCTTCTTATAATCAGAAAAATATTACTAAAACTGATTTACAAGCTATCTCTTAAATTATAAGCTAAAACAGACAAATTTGACTGTATTTTTACATTTTTTTTAGCTTTGATCTACTTTTTTGAAATAATAAAATATTTAAATAAAATTTGGTATAATAATATTTAAAAATAAAAATTATTTTTTTGCAGTATTTATTTTTAAATTATAAGAAAAAAAATTAGGTTACTTATAGATTAAAAATATACAATTTTAAAAAAATTTTTTTTAAAAAAAATTTTTTAGTTTATTTATGATAAACTTTTTAAATATTAATTTTAAGCTTATAGTTTTTAATACAACTTTTAATTTATATCAAAGATTATAATTTTAATTATTACAAGTTTAGTAATTTATATATAAAAATTAATATTTGTCTTAAGAGCAAAAAAATTTTTTAACTTCAGAAACATATAAAATTTTAGAAAATTTGAAAATTATTTTAATAGTAAACTCTAATATTATACAATCTTTAAACTTTCAAATTTAGATAAGTCTTAATCACTTTAATAGGTTTAGATCACAGATAAATATATTTGAGCTTTTATTCTTAAATGTAGTTTTTCTTTTATTTGTACTTAGAGTAACTATATAGTTAGCAGTTTAATAGTCTAGCTCTGACTGCAAATATTGGTTTTAGCTATAGTATTTATATAGAAAATTACTTTTTGTATATAGCAGCTTTATATAGCTACTAACTTTTAAACTACTAATAAAGATACAAGCAAAGCCTCATCTTAATATCAAAAAAAAATATTTAAACTTTAATTGCTTAAAAGTTTTTTAATAAAATTAAAAAAGTTTTTTAACAAAGTTTATAAAGTAGGTTTTAAAAAATATTTTTTGCTTAGAAAGTGTATTGCTAAATTAATTGTTAAAATTTTATTATAAAAATTAATTTTAAAAATATTAATACAAACAAATTTGCCTGTATTACAATTTAAGAAATAGCTAAATTCTTGCAAGAAACTATGTTTTAAACAACTAAAACTTTAAATAATAGTAAAAAATTAGTTAATAAGAAAGTAAAAGATACTAATATTAAATGTTTTTTGAGTAATTTGCTAAGAAAAAAACTATATATACATGCTGCTAATGAATATAATTATAATTATATAAATAATATTTTAGATAGTTTAGCAAAATTAATATTAAATAGTATTATAAATATTGCTATCAAACATGCTATTAACAAATTATTCTTAGGTCACAAATGCTTTAAGTGTAAAAGATCTAAACACAAATTTCAAAACTGTTTTCAAAAAAAGAAAAAAAAAGCAAAAAGTCTAGAAAAAGTAAGGTTAATTTTACTATTGTAAATTTAGATTCAGATTTAAATATTTTCTCTAATACTTCTTTTAGTAATAGTTCTAATACAAGTTTTGAGAATTTTTCTGATTTTTTGATTCTGAAAATAATATTACTGTTAATATCATCAAGTCAAAAAAAAGTGAAGCAAAAATCTAGCACCATGCTAAGAAATATTCTACTAAATGAAACTATTCATAAAGTTCTTCTAAGTAAGCTTAAATTAATTTTTTTTAAATATTTTTTTATAAATCTAATTCTATTATATTTAAACAGATAATGGCTCCTATAGAAGCAGAATTAGTATCTCAAAACAATATCTATTTAGTTTCTAAAGATTCATCTTCAGATAAGTTCAGTCTAGAGAAGAAGTTCTTAGACAATTTTATAAAAATCTATTTTGTTCAAAAAAAGAAGCCAAAAATAAGTATTATAATAATAAAATACAAAATTAAGTGCTTAAAGATTTTAGTCAAGACTCTTGACTCTAAAGCTGAACTTTTAATTATAACAAAAAATATTGTTGATTACATTAAAATAAAATTAATAAATCTGAAAAACATATCAAAAAAATTTTTGAATAGATAATAATTAATATATATCAAATAATCAATATATATTAATTGAAATATAACAATATGTATTAGCAGGATAGTTATAAATTAATATATATCAAAATTAATATAAATCAATAGATAGATATATATTGATATTAACAAAAAATTAATTATAATTGATATTATTTAAATTGATATGATTATTATTTACAAAAAATTGATTATCTTTAAAATTATATAAATTAATACTTATTGTAATTAACAAATAATCGATTTTTATCAATTTTATTTAAATCAATACATATATAGAATTATTATTATCTATTAAAATATAATATATATAATATACTTTAAATATTGATATACATTAAATTAGAAAATAAAACTATTTAATAAATATTTATTTATTTTATTAAATCTTAGAACTATATACACTGTTCTATTAATGTTATCTAATGATATACAATTATAGTGTTTAAATAACTTCAATTTAGGGCATTTTTATAATTCATCAACTTTTTTATACCAATAGACTAAGGTGAACTCTAATAGCTCTTGTTTTGTTTAATAAAATTTAAGTATAAGAAGTATCTTGAAATAATTGTTATATTATTAATTTATTCTCAAAGTATTATTTGCTTATAATTATAATTTATTATTGTTAAGCAAATTTTAATAAAAAAATTTAAATTGAGCAACTGTTTGGTATATATCAAGTCATATTAATTTACTTCTTTATTATTTTCATAGCTACTAATCATAATATTTGAAAACATAGAACTTTATAAAAACTAGCAATAGTACAAATTTTGTTTGTACTTTTTAATGAAGCTGAAGAAAATACTTGCATACAATTAAAATTATTAAAAAACAAAATTAGTTTTTCTTCAAAAAATTCATTAAGACTGGTTAAAAGATTTGAAACTTCTTAATTTGTAATGAGTTCAGATTATTTTTATTGTTTTTAAGAAAATTATCTAACTTATTTAAACTTAAAGTCCATATAAAGTTCCAAACCTTTTTACTCAGTAATATTTCTTTTTGGCTTTTTTTTAATTAACTTTTGCTATATAATCTAATATAATGATTATTCATGATTAAAATTATATTTTAACCAAATAATATATTGTAATATATAATAAAATAATAACTTAATTACTAGATAATATATGTATTTAAATATATTTACTAGCAAATATATTTAAATACATATATTATCTA